GGTAACGAGTAAGGAATGAAATTTACTTACATTAATTTATTGAAATTGCTAAATGTAATTTAATTTGTGCAAAAATTATAAAATATGTTTATTTAAAATATTAAAAGCACATAAAATATTATATAATGTGTGTTGAAATACCTAAAATATTTTATAAATTTGTGTGCAATCGCCTAGAATTTTCTAAAATATTATTAAAAATATGTCTAGAAACATCCACATTGGTGTATGCTATTATAAATGAAAGATTTTCTAAAACACTCTACTTCCCATACATTCCAAAATTTCTCTATTGTATGTGTAGTATTAAAGAGATAATATTGCATAATGAAAATTGTATAAAATCAGATTGATAAGATAATATTGCAGAATTATAATTGTATAAAATCAGATTGATAAAGATAAATCTATTATATGGATAGAATTAAAAAAGATAAATCTTGAGAATTAATATTGTATAAAATCATATTAATATTTTTTTTTAAAAAAAGCAATGGTTATTTTGATTTTTTTTTAAATGTTAATTTTGAAGCAAATAAAGATTAACTAATAATAAATAATTTTTAGGTATTCAAACTAAAAACTAAATTTCAGGCAAAAGATAAATAACTAATTTGAAATTTCATTCGCATAAATTCTTTTATAAGTAAGTAAAACTATTTAATTAAAAGGTCAACTTTTCTCTTTTAAATTAAATATCAATCTTCATTATATATAGATTAGTAATATAATATAGTAAAATCAAAATTGATTCTTATGCGCTCACATAATACATATCTCAAAATATAATTTCACAATATTTACATAGTCAAATAAAAAAATATTTTCATTATATATAGATTAGTAATATAATATAGTAAAATCAAAATTGATTCTTATGCGCTCACATAATACATATCTCAAAATATAATTTCACAATATTTACATAGTCAAATAAAAAAATATTTAGAATTAAGAAGGATTCGAAATCATATATTAAAACGATAGAAATGCTACATAAAAAATTACTAAGTTTTACCATGGGGACAGACAAACACATAAAATATCGTTGGGAATAGAGAAATGGACGCAATCACACATGATATCTTGTGAGAAGGTTCATAACGAAATTCATGATGAAATGATTTTGCATAATGAAAATTATTGTAAAATATTCCAATTAATTGATTAGCATAAATTGTAAACATACACTATCAAATATAAAATTTTAATATATTGCGGACTATAAATTATATTTTTTATAATTTTGTTACATTGTCCAATATTAACATAAATTATTGTTGCATCTCCAATCATTGTCAGACATGCACTATAAGTTTTGCTCACACTACTAAATATGAATAAACAAACTCTCGGTTAAAATGAATTATAAAATGGTGATTCTTTTATATTTTATTTTTATGTTACTATTATTTTTACATCTTCGTCAATATTTTTTATATAGTTTATTTTCCTTACTTTTGAGTAGTGATTTGAAACATTTACATCATGAATGGTATTATACTTTTGATTAGTGATTTACTGATTTGAAACATTTACATCATGAATGGTGTTATAAATAAGATTGACGAATGTCAACAAATTTAAAGTAAAATTACTATTTCGTTTTATTTAATTGATTTTCGTTGTAACTATCTTGTAAGAAGTGTTTTGAAATTCAAGACTTGAAATTGAGTTTTAGTTATTTTATTTTATTTTTATAGTTACTCTATTTTTATTTATTTTAGAATTAAAGTAAATGATAGATTAATCAATGTAGCACATATTATACATTCTATTAATATGCAAACTTAAATAATATTATCCATGTTGTTTTAGTGAATAATTTAAACAAAACATTTCTGTTGAGATTATATATTTTTTCACCTATAGAATAACATTTTTTTGAGAGAAGATTGACAATTTGTATGTTATTGAATTAATTATTTATTACATCATTCATAAACATATGCATATTCACTAAATTGTTCCTCTTTAATTTTTTTAATACTATATCAAAAACTTTGTAGTAAACAATATGATATTTCAAAATTAGAAAAGATAATATCGTTGCCTTATTGGTGCATTATATATTTTACACCTATGAAATAAAATATATTTTATGTAAAAAATTGCAAAATAATATATTTCTATTACATTTAAAACTAAATTGTTCCTCTTCAAATTTTTAATACTATTACCAATAATATCTATAGTAAACAATATGAAATTTAGAACTTAGAGAAGATACTTTCGTTGGTGCATTATATATTTTATACTTATGAAATAAAATATATATTATTAAAAAATATTTAAAAAATATATTATAATATTTTCTCTTACATTTAAAGACTACATTTAGAATAACCAAACTGACACCTAACAAAGTAGAATAATAATGAATAGTACAATTAAGAATAAAGTATTTATTTAAAATCTGTAAATTTACGTAGATAATATTTTTGTATGTGTAAAAAATTAAAGATTCAACAAAGTATAAGAATATGAAAGTTAATTAATAATAGTAAATTAAGAAATGTTGGTTTGAAAACTTAACGACAATGGTAAGTTGGAGCTTTCTAACATTAATAAAAAAATTACATTATTAACCTTACAACTTATCTTTAGGGTGTTCTTAGAAATTCAAAAGTTTCAAGAAACTACTATTCCTTTTAAGAGTTATTGCTGAAATAAAATTCGAATTATTTCTTGAGCAGATGGGGAGTATTTTGTGATTAAAAACTGGAAATGGTGTAGTGTTCTATCTCCTTTGCAATGGTTTTGCAATTGATCAGCTCTGTTGATATACATATGCAGTTGGGTTGGTTTATTGCTGCACCATTCATCTTTGGAGGCCTCTATTTGTTGTCTTTGCCATGTTTCAAGATCTTGGTTCGAAAATTCAGTCCTGTCCCAGCAAGTCCTCAAAAGAATCGTAATTTTATTTCAAGCCAAGAGAGCCGCCTACTTCTCTTGCTGAACTCAGGCTGAAAGTCATGGACACGTAATTAACTAACTCTGTTATGCCCAGTTTGTGTTATTTGTGATGAAAAGGGATACCACCCTGAAATTTCCTCGATCCTAACACTTTATGTAAGTAAAACATCTATCAGAGGGTGCCATTAAATTAATTGCATGCAAATATGTAACCAACTTTGACGTTGTATCCTGGCGTGGTTTACTTGCCGAAACATGATTAGGAAACTGGTTTTTGTTAGTGTCTACGGTGATAGTTTACTAATATCAGTTTTGTTGCACGGCTTTCATTGTTGTTGTATTTCATTTGGAGAAGATCTGTGCACGTGCCTATTTATATCTTATTGTACCTTGGTGAGTGATGAATTAATTTTGGTGGTTCTCTTCAAATATTCTAGGAGTCATTGGAGTTCTGAAGAACTGTGGGTTTACCTGCAATGCTGTGGTCAAATCATATAAAACTGTCATTTTTTTATTTTTTCTGTTTGATTACAAACTAATAAAGAACATAAGTGCGAAAGATTGTCTTACCCTTCTTAGCTTGCTGATTATATTATAGATTCCAGTGTTCCTTTTTTATCGCTTAGGTTAGGTGTTACTGGAGTCCAAACACTTGTCCCATCATATTATTAATTTTTAATTTGCTGCTGCTTGTAAAGGCTAGGAATCTTGGTTTGGTGATGAAATAATTTGGGTCTTGTTACTGTTTCCCATCTCAATGGATTCTGGTGGGAACAACAGTATTGGCTTCTGCTGCTGTGTATGGAATGCGGGCGAAACTCTGTATACTTGTAATAACAATAGTGGACGAGAAGAGCACCACAAGTTTGACAAGTTTGTAGATGTAACTTCGACAAAACATAAGTGGATGATGTTTTGTCACACAAAGGAACTGGAGATACTTTTTTTTCTTTTCAGACTGTTGCGGTACTTAAAACATAAATAGAGAGGACTCGGACAATTCAAAACCAAAGAGAAAATCAACCTCGACTTCATTGCTGGGTCATGGAAGAATTCACAAGAATCTTTTGCACCCAAATTGATCAGGGACCCATCATCTGTCAGCAACAGAGCAAACTTCTACAATATGTATGAGAATACTTAGTTTATAAGCCTTAAATCTTTTTACCCACGAAAGATATGTACTTCAGGAACAACAACAACAACATAGCCTTTAGACCCAAGCAAGTCGGGGTAGGCTAGAGATGAAACCCAAGAGAAACACAAAAAGACTCGAACCAAAAGGAAGAGATCGAAAAAAAAAAAAAAAAAAAGAAAGAGAGAGAGAAAGGAGCGAAAGTCACGGTTCTGGCACGTTGATAGCTAGGCTCCAAGCGCTCCTATCCACCGCTAAATCCTTGGGGATATTCCAAAGATATGTACTTCAGGAAACGAATAACAAATTCTTGTAATCTGTTTCTTCTCCCAATCATGTTTACATTTACCAATAGCTGGCTAGAACGTTAACATAATGGAACCACCACGACATTCAACTCTGTAGTCTCCATACTAAAGAAGATGGGTATATAAAAATAGTGTTAATATCAAACTCCAACAGAAAGGGAAATTAAAAAAAAAATAAAAAAATAAATCATAGTCTTTGGGTAAATCCGTTGGTTCAATCAATTAATATAATTCGTTTGTCAAAAGTCAATGCAATTTTTTTATGGGCTATTGGCAGACTTTTCTTTTCTAGCTATTTAGCCGATTGTAATTAATGAATCCAGCGTTTGAAAAAAAAAATGCAATTTGTTGACTGCTAACACTAGGAGCTGATTGGCAACCATTTGTGTGGAGTTAGGCATTTGATATTGTGGTGAAAGTGAAACGTGAGATTTTACTGGGGAATCGTGCCAAAGTTGGAGCCATACATTCTTAAAAAAGAAAATGAAAAAATTATGTGTGAAGATAAGACGCTTGTGGAGGACTTGTGCCCATAGGCTACATAAACTATGTATCTATCTATCTTCCCCAAATAGTTCCACTTTCATTTTTGCTCCTCCCCAAATAATTAATTAATAATTAAAACAGCAAAAAAGTGAGTGATGGCGTCCTTGAACTTGTTCCTCTCTCCTGTTGTCACCCCTCAAAGAAGAGTTACTCTAACTCGTACTGCAGCCACAGCGGGTAAAAGCTCCGGTGGAAGCAGCGAGGAGAAGAGCATTCTCGACTTTATACTCGGGGGTTTGACAAAGCAAGATCAATTCTACGAGACTGATCCCATCCTGAAGAAGGTGGAGGAGAAGAGCGGGGGCACAACCTCTGCTGGCCGGAAGAACTCAGCTGCGCCTCCGCCTAAGAAGAAGGATGGCGGTTTTGGTCTCGGGGGCCTCTTCGCCAAGAAATAATATGCAACTCATCAGCCTTATCTTTTTATATATATATATATTATATTATGCCCCTTCAATTAATTTGTTACTGGTTTGTGTAAGCATTTGGCTCTTTTGGTGCTATCTTCATGCGCAATTTGCTACATTGGATACAGCGTTGTTGGGCGTTTGCTGGCTGCAGGTTGTGATTATTAATTGTGGTGGCATTTCTTTTAGATTAATTAGTTCAATCGCTCTAACCACATATAAAGTAATGGACAATTCACTTTCCTTTAATTTCACACCATCATCCAAGCTGTATGAGATATCAAAATTATTTTTTATTATTATAAGACCATCTCCAACTGAGGCAAAACTCAATTTTTACAGTACCAAATGCAGATTTACGTTGCAATGCAAATTTTGTGTTTGATCTTTTTATAATTGCATATAACTCCTTCTATTATTATTTATATTCTAACACCCTTACTCTCTCTCTCTATATGTATATAGAATTGAGATCAAATGAGAAAGCAAGACAGTGAAAGAAATAAAAATAATTATAGACCATATGGTTATGATGAATTCAAGTTATGATCAATCATTAACGACAATTTAATAATTATTTGATTATATTATGGTCAAATATGTGCATTTAACCAATAATTAAAGGTAAATTAATCAATATACAAATATACATATATCAGGTGGGACCCACTATCCAAATCATTTCACCCCACATTCTCTCTCCTCAACCTGTCTCACTCCTTATCACCCTCACACACAGAACACACACACGCACTACACACACTCTCACATACGCGCGCACACATACACAGTTTCGGCCACCAGCCACCAGTCCGACACATCGTCGCTGCATTCCGCCAACAACCATCTGTTTCGCGCCCACATTCTAACCACCGGAGCTTCACCGCGCAGCCGCCCCTCTACCTGTACCTGCATAGCCTCCACCGTCAGACTTCTACAACTAGTCGCCGCCGCCACCAGTCATGTTGCAGCCGACAATAACCAAGTTGTCGCTGGTCAGCCACAACAAACAACCGGATGCCGGAGGTGAGACATACCGGCGACGTTGCAGACACCGACGCCGGAGGCGAGACAAACCACCCGCCGGCCGTGCCGGCTCTTGCCAGTAGCCGCTAAGACGTCGCCTCCACAGCCCCTCTACCGTTGTCGCCAGCGAGAACGCAGTAAAAAAATTGAATTTTGAGCAGCGAGGAGATCCGTCGGAGATGGGGGAGATGACAGGCGACCGAGGCGACTTCTTGGAGATGAAGAAGACGACTGAACATAGGGGCGTCGGGTGAATGACGGTTGTACGGGGTCGGCGTCGGGTGGCTGACGGCGGGGCGCGGACGGCCTCGGGCGGCCGACGGC